CTTCAACGATATGATGGTGTTTGCGTTCGACAGACCCGTTCTGTTGGTGTGCATGACGACACGAAACATGATGCTCAATGCCTATGCTTCGAAAGAAAGAGTTGAGTTTCTCATACTCTCCTTCCCAGTCACTCTGGACTATAATAATTTTCTTGTCAAATTGACGTTCAACAAGCTTTTGGAACTCTTAGAAGACAGAAAAGACCTCAGATTTGAACTTAAGCAAGTATATCCATGTAAACTTGCTATAATCATCAATGAAGCTAACATAATATTTTTTTTCTTCCAAAGGAATCTCTAGCATGACCTCATACATCACTGAATATTAGTTCCAACGGAGCATGAGACACACTATGTGACTTAGGATACGGGAGTTGATGACTCTTGGCGCATTGACAAGCATCACAAATAGACTCTTTATTCTCACTACCGGACAATTGATGATTGCCCTTATTCACTACTTGATCAACTATTTTTAATGAAGGATGACCTAATCTTTGATGCCACCTCTCTAAGGACGACTTGACCACGGAGTAAACTTGACGATGACGCTTGCGGCTAAAAGCTCTTTATGTGATAGGATATAGACCACCGATGCATCTACCGTGATGGAGGAGCTCCCTCGTTGCCCGATCCTTAATGAAAAAAATACTTGGGGTGAGTTTCAAAGAAGATATTATTATCGGCTAACAAGCGAGACATGGAAGCAAGGTTTTCTTTGGCTTGAGGGACATGAAGAACATCTTTTAGAAGAGGATCACGTTTAGCATTGGGAAAATTAATAGAAGATTGACCAATGTGACATATGTCCTTACCTCCTCCGCTGGCAGCGGTGTTTATCTGATCATTGCCATAGTATCTCTCTCGGCTTGCAAGCTTCTCCAATTCACTGGTGACATGATCTGTGGCTCCAAAGTCAGCATACCAGACGGTGTCTCCAGCTTCTTCTTGCTCCCTGATGGCTGCAGCAACATGGCGTTCCTCGACCACGTAATCTTCATTGTAGCGATGCCAACAATATTTCACCTCATGCCCTGGCTTTTTGCAAAGCTGGCAACGGGGTCTGGTGTTGGAGTAGGAGACGCCAGAGGAGCGTGGGTCGGAGTTGTTGGCGCGCCCACGCCCGCTGTTGTTGCTGTTGCCGCGTCCGCGCCCCTGTTGGTGACCACGGTGACCACGTCCTCGGTCTCCAGTGCCACGACCACGTGTGAGAGCATTGACTGATGACTGGCGGGTGTTGTTACCTTGCAGTAGATTCACCCGGGCTTCAAAACCTAGCAACTGATTGTAGAGCTCCTGGACCGTCACCGGTTCGATACGTGCATCCATGGCTGAGATCACCGGGTTGTACTCGATGTCCAGCCCTTTGAGCACATAGGAGGTTATCTCTCCTTCAGAGAGGGGGTCACCGGTGCAGGCGATCTCATCGGCGAAGGCTTTGATCTTCTCCAGGTACTCGGGCATGCCCATGCTTCCTTTATGCAGATTGGCGAGGGCGATGCGGGTGTTGATGATCTGTGCTTGCGTCTGGGCAGTGAAGGAGGCGTGGATGGCACTCCTCACCTCGGCCGGCGTTTGAAGGGTAGCTACCTGCGCGAGAACCTCACGTGAAAGAGATCCCATAAGGTATCCTTGTACCTGTTGCTGCTGGGCATACCAGATCGACTGGGCGTAGTTGAAGACCTGCTCCTCCTTCCCATCTTTGGTGATGGTGATGGTAGGAGGGGGCGCCGGGCTTGCGGCGTCGAGGAAGTGCTCCATCTGTGCTCCCTTGATTTGGGGAAGCACGATGGTCTTCCAAAGGAGGAAATTTGTCCTCGTGAGCTTCTCTGATGGAGGAGACCCGAGAGAGGCGACGCTGCTGTAGGTGGAAGAAGGTGCATAGGTGGAAGGTGCAGGTTGGGTGGACAGGGCGCTCATGGTGGATCCAATCAGGGCGGAATTGGTGGAGGCAGCAGTGTTGGCGTTGGTGCCTGACATGTCCCTCTCGATAGATCTCTCTCTAGGTAGGTTTCAGGTTTCTCTCTCGATCAATTAGATCGATCACAGGAAGGGTAGACGTACGAGAGGAAGGGCTCTGATACCATGTAAGATTTGGTAGGAAGCGTTGAACCCTTTGCTCGGGCCGCATGTATATTTATATGAGAGTTGCCGTAGCTTACACAATTGAAATATCGCTAGGATCCTTCTAGATTACAACGAGAGCGACTTGAAGAAGAAGAACAGAAAAAGAGATAGAAACAGAAACAGTTTAAACACATCTGGCTATCTCTACGTAAGCTATTCTAATAGAACTCACATGATTCCAAGCTTCTTTACTTGGTGTTGAGAGATCTCAAACACTCATTGGTTGGTTGATCTCTGACACCCAGAGTAAGCACACAAGTGACCGATTGCCTGCCAAATTCAGATAATTTGGAATAGCCAGAGCAAATAACTGATAAAATTATGTAGCAACAATAAATTACCTATACAAGAAATCGCCGCGGTCGACGCCGGTGGCTTGAGCAGTGCAGGGGGCGGCGCGGCGTGGGTTGACGGCTCCGACGACGGTGTCGAGTGGGTCGAATACCGGGCGGCCCTGTGCAGCACGGCACGGAGGCCGGCCGTGCGGGAGCTGAGGCGGGTGCGGACGGGCTCCAGCGAGAGGACCAACACGGAGCGCACCTGCTCCGGCAACCGGTCCGCCTGGTGTCAACGGACCTCACCTTTGAATTCATTCTGAAATACAACAAGATTCAGGATATCATTTGCTGTCTGTTCCAGTTGAGTGTTTTTTCAGGAAGCAAAAAAAGAAAAGGCTCGCATTCATCCTGAATCCTTTGTCTTCATGGCTTCAGAATTCATATGAGTTCCGATTGAACAGACAGCAAAAGTTTTAGAACTTAGGTCGAGCAGTAACTAGTACTCCCTCCGTCCGAAAATACTTGTCATCAAAATGTATAAAAAAGGATGTATCTAGACATAAAAGAGGATGTATCTAGACATATTTTAATTTGAGATACATCAGGCTTTATCCATTTTGATGACAAATATTTTCGGACGGAGAAAGTACTACCACAACAGATATACAACAAGATACTACAAAACCACTAGCAAAAGATTAATGCATACGGAAAATCTCGCCGGCCCAAGATTAAAAATTACTTCCTCCGTTTCATAATATAAAAGTATCAGTGTCAGATACGCTCTTATATTATGGGACGGAGACAGTACATATGTTATCTTTTTTAAAGGGACCGACTATTTTAAGTCGCGCGAAGAAACGTTTGGCATCAGTCTTTTCTTGAGCGTTGGGTGACACCGTGGCCGTGGTATCGCCATCTTATACTACTTTCACAGACTAAGTAATTTCTGCACATTTCGTGGTCACCAAGGGACACTTTGGCCGAGTGGTTAAGGCGTGTGCCTGCTAAGTACATGGGCTCTGCCCGCGAGAGTTCGAATCTCTCAGGTGTCGATTTTCTTTTTTCGCTTTTGCCTCTTTTTTTCCTCGGGTAGAATATGTCTCAAAAAAAAAAAAAAAAGCCCACAGATAGAATGGCCGTCCACCTACAAAAAGAAGCCCAGCCTCAAAAAAAAAAAAACCTACAAAAGGAAGCCTCGTCTAAAAAAAACCCTATAAGAAAACATAGGAGGCCACCACCCAGAAGAAAAAACCTACAATGAACCTACCACTAACAAAAAGAATATCCAGACTTGGATTTTCTACACTCTGCACGAAATACATATTTGATGTCCTTTTTTCGTCAATGCATTGACGCATGTTCTAAGTGCATGTAAAATTTCACCAAGAAAAATACATCCGTGGCGATCCGTGGAAATACAAAATTCAGGTATCAAAACGCGACATTTGGAGTACTCAATTTTGTTTTCGTTTTGCACAGACCAGGATGGATGTCGGGCGGTGAGGGGTATTTGTGGGTGAGGTACATTTTGCTAGTTCATTTTTTTAGTTAATTGGATGATGGATATACTGCTGACATTAATCTTAAATGCGGCACTCTTGCCCACAAGTTAAGGGCGCTAAATGATTTCTTTCCCCTCCTGTTGGCCTTTTGTATAGTGCTTATCTTTTCCTTTTTTGTTATACTATTCGATTTTATAAACACAATTGATAAGTACAAGGTTGGGACTTACACACTGCATATCTTCAAAATAGGAAAATATTTTGGGTTTGCAAGGCCTTTACTTCATAAATACACAAGTACTAATTCTATCTGTATTATATTATGTCTAGTTTTGAGCGGAAGAGATGGTACATGGTATGACATCATTGTTTTTTTCTTTTCCTTGTCACAAAGTAACTACAGAAACCTTCCTCCCCTCGATCTCCGTCAGCGAGTCTGTGGAGTGTGGATTCACCTCCACTCTGCTTGCTGCTCCGACGGCCGATGACGGGGATGGGAAACCTGGCCCCTCGGCTCCTTCTAGTAGATAGGTAGGATTTTAGTCCTGGCAGGACGGTGCTTGGACGGGTGGCGACGCTTTTTATTTGAGTCAGTCTTCCGGGATCTGATCCTCCTCAAGTTCGTTCATGCGAACGGATTAGATGGAGCTCCAGCGTAGATTCCTACCAGCTCCTTGGGCCAGCGGGTTAGCGTTTCTCGATGTGCGTACACAACAACGATATTTGGCATCAGGTTTTTCAGATCGATTTAAGGATTCAATGGTGATGACTGTGGCACTGGTCCTTAGAGGCACATGCATGAAGATTTACTGGCTATCATCGACAAGGTCAAGCTGGCTCCGGTATGGAAGCGGTAACGGCGGCACATCGCGACCCGTTCTAGCAGCAACAATGGTGAATCTTTATAATAGGTCTGAAACTTTTTTGAGGGAAAAAAATGTCACGGAGGTCAGCGCGCGTGCCGGCCCGCCACGGCCCGTGTACTAAGCGTGCCTGACCCGTTTAACTCGGGCCGGGCCGGGCCCTCCCATTTGTCCAGGTTTGGTTGTACATCAACTAAATCGCTTAACCGTCACATTCTCGGGGGGCTATGTGCAAACCTCGGCAGACGAAGAGGGGGCAAGAATCTCCCCTCTCTCCTTCCTCATCTCCGGCGAGGCCCCGACCCCGCACCCCACGGCGGCCGGAGGCGATGGCGAGGAAGGGCGTGTCGTACGTGACGGCGGCGCAGCTGGTGTCCATGGTCAGCGACCCGCGCGTCGCCATCATCGACGTCAGGTACGCACCGTGGCCGCGCCGGGGAGCACGAGCCAGAGGAGGCTGAAGTGGGTTGGGGTGTATGTGCAGGGACGAGGAGCGGATCTGCGACGCGCACATCGCCGGGTCGCACCACTACGCCAGCGACGGCTTCGCGGACCGGCTGCCGGAGATCGCCGAGGCCACCCGGGCCAAGGACACCCTCGTCTTCCACTGCGCCCTCAGCCAGGTCGGTGAGGCCCCTCCCTCCTTCAAAGTTCCTCTCTTCCAGCTCTTGATCTTTCGAATACCACTTGCTAAAGCGAGCAAACAATTAGCACCTTGGACCTTTGGCAGCAGTACAGTTGGTGCCTCTTGTAGATCTCATGGATTATGAGTTGACCAGGGTTTCAAAGGTGGAGGCACAAATTACAGAGATAAAATTATTTGTCTATACAATGTACTGTGAATTTGATGGGATGGTGGTTATTTGTCTCTATTATCTACTGTGAATTTGATGGTTATTATTTGGAAATGCAAATACAACTGCTATGTGTGTTACACATGAAGGCATCAACAAGGTAGTTGAAACTGGATTCCATTTTTTTTCTTTTTTACAGAATCAGACCATAGAAGGTTTCGCGAACATAGCCAGTGAGACAGTTTTTGTGCAGATGCGGTAGCCATAGGACTTCCATTTGTTTCATTCTGTGGGTTTACATGTTATTGTCATTCACGATTGTACGATGTCAGGATTCACTTTCTTTCATACCCTTGCAATCATCGTGTGCTCTCTAGGCCCGTGGTGAGGACTCAGGACATCTTTTATATGCTTAGGCCTTTTTTTTTTAGGGTTAAGACAGTAGGGAAGGCTCCTACTGCATGTATATATCAACAAACAAAAGGACAGTTACATGGTGTTTT